GATACATTGAGTAAAATGTCTCAGAAAAGATCCCTTAACCCAGCTATAAAGCAGTCTATTTATGTTTTTTCATATTTTCTGTAATAAACAACTTTTTCGAGAAAAAAANTTTTGTCCGGATTTAAGTGGCGGACCCTGTATACACATACATGTTATTTGTTAACATTAGATATTTAGTAAATAGCTAATAGGTTTACGTTTTGAGAAGAAAATTGAAAAGAAGAGTAGTTACATTATCGACACGACGTAGTTGCGAACACTGAACTATAATATGAAACGTGCCTTGCCATTGTGCGAGCTGTCCGCGATAGAGAGCATCACAATTAGGATCTCTGTCTTTGTCTCGTCGTCGCTGATTGGTTGAAATTTATATGAGTACAGGTAAAGACAGAAGAACAACGAAAAGTAAAGAATGACTGCATTTAGAAGAAATCAGCGCTCAGCAATTGCTAATACGCAGTCATTCTTTACTTTTCGTTGTTCTTTTGTCTTGGACTGCACTCGTAAGCGCTGATTTCGGCTGAACGCAGTCATTCTTTGCTTTTCGTTGTTCTTTTGTCTTAGACTGTACTCATATAAATTTCAACCAATCAGCGACGACGAGACAAAGACAGAGATCCTAGTTGTGATGCTCTCTATCGCGGACAGCTCGCACAATGGCAAGGCGCGTTCCATATTATAGTTCAGTAGTTGCCATATATGTAATACTCCTATATTGCTAGTACGGTGCCGACCTGAAGCTCACCGTTACGGTGCAGACAATATAGTAGCCTCTCTCTCCAGCTGCTTTGTGCGCATGCGGTGAACATTCAAGCACGCTTGCGCATTTCTCTTTGTCGCGTTCTTTCTCTCACTTTCCAATTTTGTCTCGCTCGCACTCACTTGGTAGATGCGCCTGCGCATAATGACGCTCGACCATCTATGCCCATATTTGGACTTCGTGCGTCTCCTTTTCTCGGGCTTCGTGCCTCTCATTGCGAAGATACGCGACTAGCAATATAGGAGTATTACATATATGGTAGTTGCGAACAACCAATTGCTACTATTTAGTTCGTACGGCGCTCGCTGGCGCTACGAGCAACCGCCCCTCTTGCCCTCCGATCCCCGCGCCTACTCCGCGAATTTTCGACGCCGTCTGTACACCCATACAGCACAGAAGCTTGCAGCAACATTGCTGCAACGTTGCAACATTGCAACTGCAGTGTAATGTTGCAGAGATATTGCAAAAACATTATTTGGAAATATTATTCCAGCAATGTTGCAGCAATATCTTAAAACATTGTTAGAATTGCGTATAAAATATTAGTGTGTAATCGGTGACTGTATTACAGATATAGTGTCAGATTTTTGCAATTCAATGCACGTAATTTGTGAAGCCTAGTACTATCACATGTTAGTGTCCTGCTTAACTTCATACGTTTTTTTCGCGCGAAAAAAGCCGTGAGCAGATCTAAGCCAGAAATACAGACTTGGGCTGCGTTTATCTCTGCACATTTATAATTTTATTATTAAGTAAATTATTATAAATAACTATATACAGGGTGTCTGATAATGACCGTATAACCGCTCGTGTGTAAATAGAAGAGATTATTCTGAGTCGAAAAATCCTTTACCATTTTGCGAGATTCGCAATATTTAAAGAGATTTTAATACATAAAGATCCACGAATGAGCGTGCAGTCACATGCAAAATGACAGCTCGGAGCTGTCTATATACAGAAGTAAGTAATGATAGGCTAAGCGTACGAGAAGTAAGATCAAGAATTAGATAGCAGATAAGGAAAAGGAAGAAAGGAGAAAAAACATAGTGATAAAAAGAATTAAGGACGAAAAGGAGTTGAAAGATATAAGAGAAAATCCAAAAAGGTGGGCAGTGTATTTTTTAAAAGTAAATTTAGGTATGCAAAGTGCATACCTAAAAGTGCAAATTTAGGATTGCAAAGTGGAATACGAGAGAGTAAGCAATAGGGTGATAATCGTAAGGCTGAGTAACAAAGAAGAGAAAAAAGAGATTATGACAAATAAAAACAAACTAAAAGGGGATAGCATTTTTATAGAAAACGACTTATCGTGGGAGGAAAGAAAAGTACAAGAAAAAATATATAAATGGGCCAAAGAAAAGAAAGAAAATGGAGAAGATATAAAAATAGGAATAGGAAAAGTGAGAATTAGAGGAATATGGAAACAATGGAGAAGTAGTAGAAAGGGAATTAGAAGATGAGAAAAGGAAAAATAAAGAAGAAGGAAAACGCGCGCGATGGGAGATAGAGGAAGGAGGGAAGGAGGAGAAGAGGAGAAAGAGTGAGGAAGGGAGGGAGAACAGCAAGGAGGGGGAAGGCAAGGGAAACTAAGCGCGGGCCAAGAGGAGGAGGATAGGAGAAAAGATAGGAGAAGGATTTGTAGGAAAGTACTCTTTTGGAAAAAGAAAAAGGGGGAGAAAATATAAGAAAAAACTGCCAGACACGCATCAATAGACATATCAACACGCAATTAAGAGAAAGGGAAAAGGAAGAGCGTGCGGTGGCATAATGGTGGGGGTTAGAAAGAACTGGATAGGAAAGGATTGGGAAGTGATAGATACAGGACATGAAAATATAGTACACTTTAGAATAAACGCGGGGAGTGAGAAATTGAACATTATAGTAATATACAACACGGAGAACAAAGGAAATGAATTAGGGGAAAGATTGGAAAAGGTAATAGAAAGATATGAAAAAATAATAATAATAATAATAGGAAGCGACTTTAACATAAGGACAGGGGAATTAGGGAGGGATGAGGAAGAAGAAGGGATAGGAAGAAAAAGTAAAGATAAAACAATAGGTAATGGAGGTAGGAATTTGATAGAAAAAATGGAAGAAAAAGGTCTAAACATTTTAAACGGAAAGACAAGAGGTGATTGGGAAGGAGAATTCACTTACGTAGGTGCTAGGGGAAGTACGGTAATAGATATATTTGTAAATGAATTAGTGATAAATAAGGTATTATAAAGTTTAAAATTGAGGAAAAGGTGGACTCGGATCATATGCCAGTTTGTCTGAAGATGGAAGACATTGAAGAAGAAGAAGAAAGAAGAAGAGAAGGAAGAAGGAAGAACACGGAGACACAGGAGGGAAAAACAGTAATATGTTGAGACATAGAGGCAATAGAAAGATTTAAAACCAAAACGGAGGAAATAGGATAGACGGAAGAGAATGACAGTGTAGATTTGGACAAGTTATGGGAAAAACTAAAAAGCATGATAGGCTCAGCCGTGACAAAAAGAGAAAACAAAATGAAAATAAGAAAGATTGGACATAAGGACTGGTGGGACAAGAGCTGCACAAAAAGGAAACGAGAAATGAAGAAGATATACAAAAAATAGAGGAAAGGCAGGAGGACCAAAGAAGAATACATCGAACATAGAAAAGGCTGGAGAAAACTTTTAGATGAGAAAAGAAAGGAAAAGCGGAAAGAGGAAGAAAAGACTTTGAAAACCTTGAAGACGGAGTCAGAGGTATAGAAATTTATAAACAAAAAAAGAAAGAGGAAAGAAAGGAAGGAAGCGAACATAGATAGAGAAGAATGGAGAAAACATTTTATGAAGCTACTGAACGGAAAAGAGATAAACTACAACGGAGAAGAGGATAAGAGAGAAAAGGTGGAAAAAGCAGAGGAGGATGACAGGAACGAGGAGTTAAAAGAAGATGAAATTATTGAGGTAGTAAGGAGAATGAAGTTGAAAAAAGCAGCGGAAATGGACGAAATACCCATGGAGGCATGGAGATACGGAGGAGAAGCAGTGAAAAAGGGATTGATAGAAGTAATTAGTAAAGTTTGGAAAAAAAGGCAGATTCCGGAGGAGTGGAGGAATAGCATAATTGTACCTATATATAAGAGAGAAGATCAGGACACGGCGGCCAACTATAAAGGTATCGTTGTTGTGCACGGCTTACAAAGTGTACACAGATATAATAAGAGAAAAACTTGAGAAAGAAGTAGAAAAGAAGGAACTTTTACCAGAAGGACAGGCGGGCTTCAGAAAAGGAAGATCTACGTTGGACAACATATATGTTTTGACTCACTTAGTCCAGAGAGAAAAAGAGAAAGGTAATGGAAGTAAAAGAATCTATGCTCTGTTCATAGACTTAAAGGCAGCGTTCGACAACGTGGATAGGGGGGTGCTGTGGAATATACTAGAGAGGAAAGGAATAAACGAAAGATTGATAAGCAGAATAAAGAATATATACGAGAGGACAGAAGTAGTAATAAGAACATCGAAGGGATTTACTCTGGAAATTTCAGCGTAAACAAAGGAGTAAGGGGTGTGTTCTGAGTCCAACCCTATTTAATTTAAATAATAATGAATTTTGGCTATTGAAGCAGTAACACTGTTGTTGGAGTGTATATATTAAAATCCGTTTATTGACAATTAATAGTATAATAGCATGAACGCTTTCGAGCCTTGTATTAGGTCCTTTTCAAATGCAATTCTACAATGAATGAACGTATAATTACAATTGATGAAATACAATTAATGAAATTAATACAAAATAAATTTCAAAAGATAATAATTAAAAATCGCAGAATAAATATAATGTACAAAGTCACTTACAAATTTCTTAGATAGAAAACGTCGCTCAATGTTGATCAAGGATATCCGCACTAGCCATCCCGACCAACACTTTACAAAGGTGAAATCGCGACTGAGAAACAACGTGTGTGTAATGATAGGATTCAAATTTACGAATAACATATCAATTTATAATGTCTTATCGACAAACGGTAAATAGGAATTATCTAAATTTTCCGTGTTGCACTGCAAATTAAGTCCGCTGACTTGACTTTTTATATGTAGCATTTCTGATACCAACCTTTTGTTATATGATTTCTCAAAATCTAAAATTTCTACTTTATCTCACTCAAAATCATGTGAATATTGTAATCTATGTTCTGTAATTACAGATTTTTGAGTGGAATTTCTATTGATGTGATTTTTATGTTCCTTAATTCTGGCCTGTAACATTCTGCCAGTTTGTCCTACATACGAGGCTTCACAATCACGGCAATTGATCTTATAAACTACTGAAGGATGTGAGAGAAGAGGCAAAGGATCCTTAAGAACGTTGATGAATTTCGCCAGTTTGTCAAGGTTATAATAAGCTAAACGCGTATGAGAGTCTGTAGGAAATATTTTTGCAAATTTCTCCGAAAATTTGTTGATATAAGGTAAGACAAACCAATGACGCTGTGTGTCATTAGAACTCTTGTTAGACAAAAACCTTCTTATGTCATTGTTTTTGTAAAAATTCTGTTTTAGTCTAAGGATAATATTGTCATATATAAAGTCCATGGGATAATTATTATCAACAAGTAAATTAAAGATAAAGTCAAAATTTTTTGAATGGAATTTTGGATGTGATAAAAAGAAGGCCCTGTCCACTAGGCTGATGACGGTGCCTCTTTTTTGGCATATAGGATAGTGGGAAAAATAGTTAAGGTATCTACCAGAAAACGTTGGCTTGTGATACCAGTCATGTATTAATTTGTTGTTATTTTTTATAATAGTAATGTCCAACAAATTAAGTCTATCACCACCCACCTCCATAGTAAATTGAAGTCGTGGGTGATAATTATTGTACAGATTTAAAACAGCATCAAATTGATCTTTAGGAACCATGAGAGCTATGTCATCAACGTATCTGACATGTAAAGGTGAACAGAAGGAAAGAGATTCAAATATGGATATTTCTAGATCTTGCATTACAATGTCTGCAAGAATCGGAGATATCAAAAACCAAAATTATATCAATAGCCAAAATTTATTATTATTTAAAAATTCTTGAAGCTCCATATAATCATCATTACATACCTATTTAATTTATATATTGCAGATCTAGAGAGCGAATTAGAGAAAAGAAATATTGGAGGAATAGTAATAGGAAAAACTAGGATATGGTCCCTAGCGTATGCGGACGATATTGTACTTCTAGCAAAGAATAAAACGGCATTACAGGACATGATGGACACACTGAAAAAGTTTTTAAAACTCAAGAAATTAGAACTATGTGCGGAGAAGACAAAGCTAATAATATTTAATAGTAAAGGAAAAAATGACAGTGAGCAGGTGAAATGGGAAAATAAGACTATTGAAAAAGTAAAGAGTTTTAAGTATCTGGGCTTCACATTCAACAAGAAGGAGAATTATGCGCATTATATTAAAGAATTAAGTAGAAAAGGCAGAAGTGCGGCAAACAAGATATGGGGTTTAGGAGAACGGATATGTAAAAATGATTTTAGTAGAAAATAGATGCTATTTAGGTATCTGGTCATAAGCGTTATGTCTTATGGGGTTGAATTATGAAGATGGGAGAAGAAAAGGAAACTAGAAAAAATAATGCTTGACTACGTGAGATGGGTCTTCAGACTGGATTTTTGCACACCGAGATACGTGATAAGGAGAAAGTTAGATTTGGAAAAATTAAAGGTTAGATGGGAAACCAGAGCGGTAAGATATGAGCTTAAGCTGAGAGAATTAGAGGAAAACAGGTTAGTAAAAAAGTGTTGGTTGAAAAAAAAGAGATGAAAATAAGGGACCTCTACAGTAGGAAAAGGGAGAAATACTAACAGCAAAGGGTGGGGAATAGAGGCAGCAGAGGAGTTAGGGAGAGCAGGAATGGACGTTGAAGGAGTAATGAGAGAGAGAGACAGAGACATACAAAAACAATTGGACGAAATCAAAGTAAGGGAGGTTAGATATAACGTGAGATATAAGGAATTGAAAAAGGATGGAGTAAAGCCCAGCTATTTACAAAAAAGAAACCTAGAGGAAGAAGAGTTAGGTTAAGAGAGCAAGTAAAAGCATTAATGAGAGTCAGATGTGGTAATATGGAGGAAGGAAATAAATACTGGCTAGAGGAAAATAGGAAAAGATGTATATTTTGTAAAACAAGTCAAGACAATCTCGGGCACTACGTAAGTGAATGCGAGGTAGTAAAAGAATGGTTCAGGGAATTAGGCAAAGAAACGGAGGTAAAGATAAAAAGAATAGGAGACGATAAATTAGATAAAGAAAAAGGTAAGATATTCCCAGTAAACAATTTGGTTGCGAGATGTCGCGGTTTTGTCGCCAACCGCCGGCGAAATTTGTAGACCAAATCTATATCCATCTGTGTCCTCATTAGGATATGGTTTGGTGACCATATCTGTCAAACATGTGAGATGTCAAAATGAAATCAAAATCATAACAAGTCTGCCACTAGCAAAGCAAAGCCAAAGTGACGCACCAAATCCAGAACAGATTTGGTGATCGTTTGTTGGC